ATTCTATTCTATTCTATTCTATTCTATTCTATTCTATTCTATTCTATTAAGAGATAAGGTAATAGTGAAGATGAGAATAATGGCAATACTGCCTTTTTAGGTAGTTTGACAGTGTTGCGGGAATTAATTGTTTAGCAGAGTGATCGCATGGGGGGTGGGGAGAACTGTCTAGTTGTTCTGACGTGCAGAGCCCTATAGCGTCGTTTTGAGGATAGAAGTTGAAACTGTTTGTGTACAGGATATGAGGGGTGTGTAGATATTTTCACAACCCTCTTTCTGGCTCGTGTAGCATACAGCTCCTCAACGGAAGGCAGATTGGCAGCAATTTATATTACTTAAAAAAAACACAATTATTTCAATAGTTTTTTTAAAATTATTGGCCCTGAGAAAGTTGTTTTATATTTTGAAGTATGCATACACTACTAACATACAGCCAGAATCAAAGGCGATCACACCGCACACACCCCTCCCAAAAAAAACCCCGCGCATTGCGCTGAAAGGGAATTGTCTTGAAATGCGTTCCTGATGCTCATTCCCACCGCGCTTCTTCTACCCCGCACATGGTGGAAAGCCGTCGCATCGAACCGGAAGCAAAGGTGGCAATCGGGCAGTCCCGTCACTCTCGCTTCCTTAATTCGGCTTGGTGGCGGCGGTTTAATTTCCTAGTTGCTCAAGATGGCGGCGGCCGTCTTTCCAAGGCGCTGCTGCAGCCGCTGGAGAAAAGAGAGGATAAGTCCGCTGCAGATGATGCTGTGGGGAGCTGCCGGCCTGGCGTCCCTCCTTACGGTTGCGGCTTCCCTGGAGCCGGAGCCGGTGGGGAGCCACGTGGTGGAGCTGAGCGGGTCCAACTGGAGCCTCCTGCTGCAGGGCCAGTGGATGGTGGAATTGTGAGTAAGCTGAGCCGCGTCGGGAAGGGCGCGCGCAAACTTGGAAAGGGAATGCAGGCAGAAGAGCCGTGCCAGCCTGCTCTCTTTCTTCTCTTAGGACGCCAGTTGGAGGATGGACTACAGCCACCATCATCCCCAGCCAGTTTGCCTAACACATTGCAAGGCAAAGCAGTGTAGAGGACTCCGGCTGCAAGTCCGGATAGCCTGGCTTGACATTTATTGGGCGAGGGGTTGGACTAGATGACCTACAAGGTCCCTTCCAACTCTGATTATCTGTATTCGGTATTATTTGGGGACATTTACTTCGGTCCAGAAACGTAGGGGAACCCCCTTCTAACGGGATTGGCGTTGCCCTGTGTTTAAGTCAGATGCCGTTCATAAACCTAGTTCATCTGTCTTAATTTTGGAGAGTTGGCTTTTTATTAATGCAATTAAATGATGAAGGTGATAAGATTTGTTTTGTTTTTTTTACAAAACTTTTATGGTTTAAGTCTTTTTCGATGGGCTTTAATTAAATCCAGTTATCCCCAATCCAGTGCCTGCTCAAGTCAGGTCAAAGAATTCCAGCCTACTGTTTGGTTGTTCGGTTGTAATTTATTGAAAGAACTTGAGTGTCCTTGTAATAGTTATGCTACACATTGCAAGGTATTATTTGGTATTTGATGCTAAACAACACCTGCTGCAACATGCTAAACCTTGCTAATGAATTGCTACATATATGTAAAGTGCTGTGCCCAAACAAGCAATATTATGGCATAATGTTATGGCGTAGTTTTCAAAATACTTGAAGGCAGTGGGTGAATTTGCACAACAAACTGAACTCACAAACCAATTTAGTGATTGTCTAGTGTATTGCATGAATTGTTGTCATAGATATGCTTGGGAAGGACACAGTGAAAGAAAGAAAAAAACATGCAGTTCAGGATAAGGGATTAGCTCTACAGTGTATGAATAGCTGTTAGTCACTTCTGATAAGGATGATCAAATTTTGCACATGAAGTAGGTTAGAATTGCTGTTAAAACAGCTCACAAATTGGATTAAGTATGTGATATACGGGTGTAATTCCAAAACAGTAAAAAATAGTATTCTACTACTTCTGTTGCTTTTTTTGTAACTGTTTTTCTGTGGATTTCTTAAAAACTAGCAGTATGCATAACGCATTTCCTGTTCAATCATTAAAGCAGACTTGTATTATTTCCAGGCGTACAAGGCTGCTTCACAAGGCAAGTGCATACATAGCTATCTACAGGCATGTACATCATCCACAGCTATTCTACTTCCTTGGAAAATACAGAATGGCTGCCCATGCACGAACATAAAATGACAGCCAAGGGCATTTTCCATATTAGATCCATGAACTTAGACAAGACATAGCTTCTTTTACAAGTTGGAAAACAAATTGCTTCCTACCCACTCACTCATATATTGAATACTCATTTTGAAAAATGTACAGACTATTAAGTAGCAATTGTCAGCCTTTTTATATTTGGTACAATTATTTTTATTTGGGGCACACACATATGCTTTGTCAGATGTGCATATAAAATAATAGCCCTTATTTTAGATCTATAATGTAAAAGACACCCTGATCAAACAACAATCAGATTCTTCTCAGTGTAAATCACTGATGAACCATTTCCAAACAAATGAAGAAACCTAGAGATGCTTTGGTTCACAATTTGAATACCATGATTATAAAGCAAAAGAGAAATATTATTGAAAGAGGAAGTATGTTCATCCCAGCTTAGCCCTCTTTTAGACATGGATGAAATCCTAAATTATCACGCAATGAAGTTTGGTTATGTCTGGGTTTTTCCCCCTTAACACAAATGTATAGAATACTGCAGGGTTTCATTGATCTGGTTCAGGATATCATATGGATGAGAAATAGATCTGTGAAGTGAAATATAGAACTAATGAATGTACTACAATATATCATGAATAGGTGATTTTTTTTTAATGGCTTCTGGCCATAACATTTTTTGTGTAACTGCAGCATGTTGGAAATCAAGTGAGTTGGGGACTTGAAGATACTGCTAAAATATTATAAAACTAGCTGTCAGAATTACATTATATACTTTATAATTTAGGAAGCCCCATGTGTTTTAGCAGAAAACTAGCAGTTAAACATCTCCAGAAGCAGTTTGCAAAATGTTCTGTCACAGGATGTTCTGTGAAATGCAGAATACACTAAATGGCTTGTTTTGGGACTGGAACATTGCATGATGTCCTTGCTTGATAGACAATAGTATAAAATCCTTACATAAGAAACACTGCATCGATTGTGAAGCTGGTTCTCCTTCCTACAGGTATATTTTTTGCTAAATAACTGTAAGTGTGCATCTTCTGCAGCATACTTTTCCCTTTGTTGGGCCCTTCTTGGCCAGAATATTTTTTTTATGAGCTAATATATTAAAAATGTTTGCTGCCTAGAAAGTTTGTCTTTATTCCTGAAAAATTACATTATGGAGGGTGACTGCAGCAGATTGGCTGGTGTTAAATACTGTTTTTTTGGTAAGAATTTTAAGAGTATTTGCTATGCTAATTATTTGGATGTTATGTTGTGAGGCTGTTGAGTTGTTCGGTTTTTTTTAATTGTGTTTCAACTTTGCTGTTAAAGAGCATAGCTGTGCTCTCAGGACTACTCATGTACACTGAGTTTTTCAGTCAGCATGCCTGCAGATGTCTCCTGTAAGAAAGTGTATCTCCTTCAAATGGCTATATAAGATCACTGTTGAATACTGTGATCACATATAGTAGATAAATGAAATATAAGATCCGGGATGTAGCTCTACATCAAAATGTTTAGAATTTCAAACATCCTGTTAGAATTCAGAACAGCAGTACTGCCTTGTTAGAAATGTTGTGACCACCCTAAAATATTCCAAGTTTGTAAACTGTTTGGACAAAGTGTCGGAATATTTTGAGTAATGTTGAAATAGCTTGTTTCCAATTCAAGACATTTTGAGGTTGAAACATTTTGCACGCCGTACAAGTAGTTCTTGACTTAATACCATTCACTTAACAACTGTTAGAAGTCAGTATTGAAAAAAGTAAATTGTAACCAGTTTTTGCACCTATGACTATCACAGCAACCCATGGTCACGTGATCGTCATTCATGACCTTCGGCAGGAAGGTTCCAAGAAGCAAACTCAATAGGGAAAGCCAAATTCATTTAATGGCCATGATGAGCTTAGCAATGAAAGTTCAGTCCCAATAGTGGTTGTAAGTCAAGAACTGCCTGTATATAATTTGGCCTATAGCAGTGTATGCCCTGGATTAACCTATTGTAGAGGTTGGACAAATTTTTTATTGTTTTTTACATTAGCCACTACTGTGTCAATGATCTGTGAAATTGAGCCAGTTGGATTTTTGACATTGATTGAATGTGGAAAAAATTAATATTGTTTGGCATGTCTGTTGGGTGAATTTGGAGAATAGAATGATTGTGGAAGTGTAATGTTTTCTTTTTGGTGCAGTATTATGGTAGAAAAAGATCAAATCCAGGCTGCATTGCAGAATTCTTGCATTGAAAAACATTAGGAGTTGAAAATATCTTGTAAATTTGAAACTATTGTTCCAACTTTCTCTGAACTTAAAAGTGTTCCAAGATCATAAAAGGTATGTTTTGTGCTCAGATTTCTTAGAAATACGTAGAAAAGTTCTAGTACAACCAGAACAGCCTGTTTGGAACTCAAAGCAAGATACTGAATTCAAAATGTTTTGCCCTTGTCTTTTTTCTGTTAACTGTTGTCAAAAGCCTATAGATTTTGATAAATTGGAAATCACCAGCAGATAATGAAGTCAGCTCATGCTTATATTGTACTGTCACTTTCCTTAGCTATGCTCCTTGGTGTCCTGTCTGTCAGCAAATGGAATTGGCGTGGGAAGCTTTTGCAAGAAACAGCAAGGAACTTGAACTCAGTGTGGGCAAGGTTGATGTCACTCAAGAACCAGGTAAGTAATGAATAATCATACAAACAAAAATCAATGCAAGTAATTTAATTGCTTTTTTATGTGAGCAATTTAATTGCTTTAAAAAATGGAAACAGGATATTAAGTCTTAATGTTATTAGCCCAAATTTAGATTAGTTTTCCCCGAACTCTGATAAATGTCTGATATGATCATTGTGGTCAGCACTCATAGTCCAGTGAATCTGGATGATGACATAGTGGCTAAAGCTGCTTTGGAAATTAGCACTATTGTGTAAGATAGCCCTGGACTTGCCGTAATGGAACCCAATCATTATGTTGCAAGTCATGACCTCATTAATTGAGGTGTCCACAAGATTGCCTCACTTAACGGCCCTTAACCCTGCTCTCCCATTAAACGGAGCATGGGATAGTTCAGGTGAGCGATGATCGGGGAGGCCTAGTGCAGGCTTAGGCCTGCCTAGCCTAGACATCCCAATGCCTCTCACCATTAAGTGACACTCACCATTAAGTGAGGGTTAACCTTGATTTCCCATAGGCCTTTGGCCTGCTCCCTGCCCCACTGTGTCCCACACCCTCCTCCCCATCTTTTATCATTTTTCCCTACTTATCTTTTGTTGATATGTAGAGCTTGAGCTCACATTGGGAAAGGAGGGCCAGGCCGCTCTGCCCCTCAGCATTCCTAGGCTATGTGGCTCCATCTTGGAAGCAAGCACCATTTTCGGCATGGTCTCAATGATTATTATTTTTTTAAATCTCTAAACATGTACTTATAACTTCTTTTGTAATAAATAGAAAAAGCTCACCCAGTGAAGTCCATAAAAACTTGGTGTTCCAGAGGTTTGTAATGTAAAAAAAGAATTTAAAAATCAATTCCAAGGTGATTAAGAAACAGGGAATGGTTGAATTTTGAGTCCTTAAAGGTTATATTACAACTGTGAGTGTAGTTGTAATCGTTAGCTTCTAGTCACTCAGCTCACAAGCAGACCTCAAAAATACTGGTTCCTGCTATCTACTCATGAGGAGCAGTTGTACAGAGTTCATGTGGATTATCTCGAGAGCTCTCATTTCTCTATAGAGTGATTTTTTCCCCCAGTTGGATCCCACATCCAGCCAAGGATTTCAGCTTGTAGTGTTCCGTTTCTTCAGGAGCAACGGCCTGCTTTGGCCTTACTGGAACCTTTTAAAAAATGATATTAACCCTATTGTAGGGTTTACGCTAATTTATGCATTACCCATTTCAAAACAATTTTTGAGAGGAAGGAATCCCCAGTACCAGTAAAAAAAGGTTTTATTTGGCGTGACTTAAGTCAGAAAATGTATTCTTTTTCCAAGATACTTCTGGACTATCTGTGAACTAACAGCTTGTGTGCTTGGCCAAAGTTTTCTCATGGATATTTTAAAATTGCCCTTGAATATTTCTGAAATGTACTAGGAAAATTCTTTTCTGTTAATACCTGGGATTCCTTTCTCTTTCCCTTGTTTCCTTTCAGTGCTTGACCTCTTTAATTATAATTTACATTTTTACCAGTAGTGGTTAAGGGGATCCAAAGTAGACCAAATGAGTTCTTGTTATTTATGCAAAGCCATGGGACTGTAAGTTACCAACTCCCACAAAATGTGTAGAATATGAAAATGAGCTCTTAATTGTAAAGTGTTTGTCAGATGATGATCATGTGTAGGAAGCAAGATAATAAGTGCTATTTAAAACAAGTATCTATTCTCCTCAGGTGTAAGTGGCCATTTCTTAGTCACTACTCTTCCCACTATTTACCAGTAAGTATATATTTTAATTACTCTGAAAACAGTTACTATTTACAATTGCAATTGAAAATGTTTCCTTTTGTTTGTGTGGCAGAGTAAAATATGTGATGAAGCTAAGGAAAAAGCACCCATATATGCCAATTACATTGGAAAGCAATGCAAACTTAAAAAAAATCTTATTGCAGATATCTTTTTAGTTTGATGAGCGGAGTGTTGGGAACATGTAAGATTTGGAGAAAAAAATAGTTGAATAGAATAGCTTTTTTGGCAGATCTAAGCAATTACAAAATATGTTGTGACCAGACTGCTACTTGCATAACAACGTTTATACAGGCCATTTAATATCCAACTGCATTCTAGGAAATGAAGATGTTGCTAGAGACTAATACTTTGGAGTCTGCCAGCTTCCCATTTTTTAAAAAGTTCAGATATTTTTGCAATTTAAAAAGTCAAATGGATAGAGACACTAATAGGAAATGATGAAGTTTTTCATAGATGGCATTTTGGACACATGATGTTTATGGAAAAATAAGTAGGATTAGCCCCAGTAGAAAGCAAGATGTTTTAGTTTCAGAAGAAAATTATGATCTAAACAGGGAGCTTCCTGCTGTCCTTCGTAAAATGGATAATGCGAGCCTGCTGTGACTGGAAAATGAGTAGTAATGTAAGCAGGGGTGGGATTCTACCGGTTCTGTCCACCTCTGTAGAACCGGTAGTTCTGAAGAGCAGCAGACATAGTATCGGTTCTATGTCTGCTGTTGTTTTTGCCCACCCACCCGCCTGGGCTCTTACCTGACCTTTATTTCCTGCTTTTTCAACCTCAGCTGCTTTGCACGACACAGCTGCAGTTGAAAAAGCAGGAAAAAGGGGCTTTTCCAACTGCTGTGCACCCGCACGCTCAGCTGTCTGGGCAGCTCAAGTCGTAAATTGCACTCGCGCGACGCAGAGCAACAGAACCGGTAGTTATACCGGTCGGATCCCATCCCTGAATCTAAGGCACTAGTAACTTGTCATAAGCAAACCACAATGAAATTCACTGTGCATTTCTTCAATATCTCTCCCTTCAATCGGGTCCAGTGGGTTTTTTAAATCAGATTATTTTGATTAATTATTAAAAAATGGGCAAGATAGTAAATTAAGGTTCTTCCTGGGTTTATATACCCCAGTATCCTTTGGAAAATACAAGTTAGATTTTTGGCCCAGAGGAAACGTGCTATGATAGCTACCTAAAACAAGTAATTAGGTGACTGAGTTGTAATAAGAATAAAAGGAACTTTTTTTTGTTTTTTTCCTGAATACATCTCCTTATTACTTTTTTCTCTTGCTTATTTTCATCTCTCTCCCACCCCCCGCCCGCTTTCCAATTCCCCAAGTGGAATAATACTTTTAAGGATGTAGAGAAAAATAGTATAAAAAAGGATCCGGTCCTCTGTAAAAGTTGTTAATTTGTATGAGTGCTGCTCTGGTACACTGGAGAGTAACAAGGTTTTAGATTCAATAGCGTGACTATACTTTAATCTGTTTTCAGTGCAAAGGATGGAGTTTTTCGCAGATACCGTGGCTCGAAGACATTGGAGGATCTAGAGAGTTACATCCTGGAGAGAAAGTGGGAAAGGATAGAACCTGTGGCAGGATGGAAGTCTCCCACATCTCTAATGTAATTATAATGCAATATTGTGTCCCAGATTGGAATTTCATCCTAGGTTAAATGCAGCCTTAGCTGAAAATAGCAATTCCCAGTTGAACATTGTTTGCACTTTTTAACTTTCAGGGTGACTTATTGCGGTAGTCTATGTTTCATTCTGCTCTGCCATCTACTGGTAGAGATTGTCCAGTGCTTTCAGGATTATAGGGAGGTATTTACTTTGCATTTAATTTTGAGCTGTAGGTCCATGTTTTTAGGGAATAAAAATCACAGCAGGTAGTCATTGGTTGTGGTGATGACATATGGAATATAAGTATTTAGAAGGTACCTATAGAGTACAGCTTAGTGAAGATTGCTATTATATCTTGTGTGAAGTGTTTTCATTATGATAAAGGTTTTCTGTATAAATGTAGATGAAACAGTGTGATAAAAATCTGATAATTTTGTTTTACTAATTCATTCTGTAACTATTTTAAAGGTTGGTTAGAGAAACACCCTACTTTCTTTTATTTCCGTAGTTAAATTATTGTGTCTCTCTTGATCAAATAACAATAAGAACAATGAGAAGTAATAGAATAGTAGTCCCAGAACAAATGGGAACACACTTTTTCAATCTTTAATTATTTTTAGTGATCGTGTTTATATTGATTCTTATTAGGATGTATGGAATGGCAGGACTCTTCCATTTGTCTGGATGGATCAGAGTAAGTAAGCAATATGTATCTTTAGTAATGCAGAAAAACTTTATACCTGAGCTTGGTTTTTAAAGGTCTGTCATGTTTCCCAATAATCATACAGCTTATGTTTCTTTATACAGTATGGAAAGAATATAGATCAAACTATTAAAACTTTGGTCCAAATTGTGATAAATAATTGGAATTTTGTAAATTTTATGATGGGGTGCAAGATTTCAACATGGTTGCATATCAACACTCCATATTCTGCCATATGGGTAAAAGCTCCAACAGATTTATGAATTCTTCAATACAGTGTTTTAAATTAAGTATATAATTCATAAATTTCCACTTAGAACAGGGGTGTCAAACTCGCGTCGTCATGATGTCACATGACATATTGGGACTTTTTTCCCCATCACTAAACCAGGCGGGGGCAAAGCCAGCACATGATGCATCCAACCCGCGGCCTGCAAGTTTGACACCCCTGATTTAGAAGGGATTAATAGCAATAGCACTCAGACTTACATACTGCTTCACAGTGCTTGTACAGCTTCTCTAGGAGATTTACAGAGTCAGCCTATTGCCCCCAACAATCTGGGTCCTCATTTTACCAACCTTGGAAGGATGGAAGGCTGAGCCAACGTTGAGCTAGTGAGAATCGAACTGCTGGCAGAAGTTATTAGGATTATTAGGAGTCTAAAAGAGTGACTGCCCCAATCTTTTGGGCACCAGGGATCAATTCCATGGATAAAAAAATTTCCGCAGACCAGAGGGGACAAGGTTTTGCATGCTGCCTGCATCCTGTGGATTGGGCTTCACTTGTTTGTGCAGCCCTGTTGTTGGCATGCCATGGACCAACGATTGGGGAGCCCTGGTCTAAAACATACAGAACAAAATACACAGTTGCTGTTTACCTGTACTTATTTAGACAATGGTATCAATTGTATTCAGAAATAAAAGTCTTAATATTAATGCTACTTATAAGCCTGGGAATCCAACGGTTGGAATGTTAATGAGAACAACAAACAAGCACAGCAAGACTTCTATGAGTAGGCTCAAAATATCCGTTGATTTTATGTGTGCACAGATCCTATGTTTTTCTGTAGGTACCTAAGCTTTAAAATCAGAATAATCTCATTCTGTATTGGTGAGTGTGAAGTGTGTCTTGTGAGAAATTAGAGTAGACATGAAAATGTTTTGTTCAATAAATTGAATTCAACAGTTATTAGTAAGTTAAAACTTGCGGGGTGTACCTCATCTGAAAATTAATGTTAAAAAAAATTAAAAACAATGGTATTCTGTTAAAAAAAAACCCACCTCAAATGCTGAGCGTAGGTACACATCCCAGCTGGCACTACTTAATACCCACAGAAGATATAGCCAATGATAGTTTTATAAAGGATGTTGATTTTGTAAATGATTTATGTGAAATTGATTCAAACCTCTTAAAGTCAAAATGAAACAAAACTGTATGCTTCTGTAATTACATTTTGAGGGTGTGTGAAGATTTGAAGATATATTGTCATTCCAAACAATAACTGATAGATAATGGAACGGCAGTTTCAATTCAAATTATGTTTCTGTTGCAGCAAATCCACAACTATTTTACTGGCACTCTTGGAATTCATATTTGGGTTTCTTATGCCATCTTCATATTAGCCACCCTTTTGATTGGTCTTATCTTGGCTCTGGTAAGAAAATAGTTTTATACTCTTAAACCAAGGTGTAAAAAAATGGGAATAATGTATTGATAACAAACACAGTAAATGGTATCATCTGAAGAGTTCATTATAGATCAAGAAGATATTGGTATTCCTACTATATTGGGGAATTGTGGAAAAATTAATGGTAGATCAAAACTTTCTATGCTGTCAGAGAAAATAGTAATCAAAAACCTGTATTGTTTCTGGTGCTCTTGATCTCAAGAGAATGGTAGACAATTATCTCTCAAACTCCTGGTCTATATTCTCTTGAGCTTTACTTTTTTATCAACTAAGTGATCCTGGTCTATGAATTATAAAACTCAAGAGAAATTAATATTTCATACATTAATAAATTTTGAAAAGAAATATTACTGTCAAAGGTGTAATGTTTAATCTTTAATTTTAATTTTATGATGAATTTTCGCTCATTAAACTTGGAATATAGCAAAGAGGATAATTTTATATAAACTGAAGGAAACTTTATCTTTTTGATATCAAGGAATAGATTTATTATAAATTACTTAATCTGTTTTTGAAATGTCCTTATGTTCCAAAAGCGAAAAGATGGCGCAGCATGTTTCTGTGGTTTTAAGTATAAGCAGACATTGAGGCTTAGATATACTGATATCAAATGGATTTTTGGATTAATTTTATCTTTTAAGTTTGTTTTATTTTGATTGGTATAGTATATGTACCTTCTTTTATATTATATAATTATTGGTGTATTTTGCTATAGTTGTACACCACCAATTAAAACACAAAACAAAAATATCATTAGAGAAATTATACTCTAGAACTTCTATATGCTGTTAGAGCACTGCATCAGGACCTTGTTAAGGATTCTGAAAAGTTCTGATTTATCTGGTTTAGAAATAACTGAAGATTGTAAAAAAAAAATATTTAGAGAGGACTTTGATCTATGGCTTTCTTTAGCACATTGGCAGAAAAACATGGATATTTTGCATTTAAGTGCAACATAATTACAAGCCACTCAGATATCAATAGTGTTGGGCCTATTTGACCAGATCTGAAATTCTCTAGGTTAGTTTTATAGTACTTTTTTCTTTCTTTCTTTCAGATATTTGTTTTGCTTATAGATTGCATGTGTCCAGCTAAGTCCAAAGAAGAAAGCTTTGGTATGTACATATAATGAAGAGTAATGCTGGTGCTTATAATGTTTGTATATAGTTTCCCAGAATGAACTCGATAGCAAACAGAATAAAAATATATTATACTGAAAGTGTCCCTTTAAAACAAACAATAAACTATGCTGAGGTCCTGAAAAAAATTGCATTAATATAGTAGTGCCAGGTCCATCAACATCTTGGCCCAGTGCCCTGGAGGTAAAGCCAAGTCTTCACGGTTTTCCTGCAAGTCAACAGGACCAGGACCACCTATGTCTCTAACAGGAGGCTGTTCCATAGGACAGACACCATGACAGAGAAGACATGCTTCCAAGTTCCCACCACACAACATTGTTTTACTGAGGGGACCTGGAGCACGCCCACCATGTCAGTTTAGTAGGAGGGTGGAAACCATTAAGAATAGACTGTACCACAAGTAATCTGGCCCAGTGCAATGTAAGCCTTTAAGGTGGAAGCCAGTACCTTGAATTGCACCTGGAAGCCTACTAGGAGCCGAGGGCCAAGGCAGCTCATTCAGCAGTGGTGTTGCATGGGCATACCAAGATGCACCAACTAGTGCTCATGCTACTACATTCTGGATCACCTGCAGCTTACCAACAAGGGCAGCCCCGTAAAGAGTGCTTTGCAATAGTCCAGTGTGTTTACATGGAGGTAGAACACATTTTCAAATAGTATGGAAATACGCCACTCTGAATGATAACCTGTTCTGAGTATTCCCTTAATTTCAACTCTGATAAATAATCTTATCACTAGATTCAAACATCATGCTGAATCATAATGAAATTGTTTTGGCCTGACTTGTGTATATCCAAACATTATAGTCTGTAAGTAATTCAACACCGAGGTAAAGAAGCTCAGGGAAATGAATCACAAGGGCTAGTTCTGAAAGCTGGCCCTTTGTAGCTTAACAAAATATTCCATTTGTACAAAAGACTAGCTCTTCTTTCCTCCATTCTTTTACCTCAGATTCCGTAGATTCTGATGAGAATAAAACAGAAGATCAACAGCAAATGCTTTCAGCAGGGGACGAAATTCCAGAAGAGGGTTTGTCTGTTGGAGAAAACGAAGAAGAGGGAGAAGAGGAGTCTCAGCCCAATTCCTCAGATGACTCAGCAGTTGAAGGATGTGAGGGAGAAAATGATTCGGAGCCTTTCGAATCTGACAAGTTAGAGGAGACCTCCTTAAGACAACGTAAAAATCCGATGGAGCCTGAACTATAGTGAAAGTAATTGAGAATATACTTTTAAGTGGACCAAAGAAGATTGGGACCTTCATTTCGCAGCTGAAGCCAAATATTTGACTTATAAGCTGTTGCAGCTAAACATAGGCTGACTGCCAGAAAGCATCGGTTTTTATTTTTAAGGTCAATATTTTGAATGTAAAATATGACTAATGTTGAAATCAGAGACATGACAATCAAACAACCATGTTGAGTTCAGGGATAGGTAAGAGGTTTTATTGCATCAGCCATACCATAAACTCTATGAAGTGGTCATTCTATATAACTGCAAATTGTCTGTGTTGCAGAATTAAGTATAAAACAAGGAAAGTTTTTTTGAGGCTTGCTGGTACAAGTTAATTCCAAAATGTACAGTTGAAGACAAAAATCTAGAGGACTGAAGGCAGCTTAAGACAGTAATAAGGTTTTACTGTTTTATGTGCTTGAACAGATAACTCTTCATAGCTCTCAGAGGTCTTTGGCTCCAGTTATGTAAGGTATTTCCTACAGGCTTCAGAGCTATGATGTGTGTTTCAGGGGAGATCATAGTATAACAAGAACTATGTTTACAATATAGTTTACAAGCTGCAAGGTTTTACTTTCAGCATCCTTTCTTGAAAGACAGGAAGAGGTTTTTAAATATGGATGTGGCTTTCGTACAACAATCAGTTTCATATCCATTGTCCCAATATTAATCTGTCAAGTCAATATCTCAGGATCTGAATTGTTGGCCATAGTTAGGTTCCTTTGTATTTACTCAATACTGCTTTAATATAACATTGATTCTTTTATGCATTACAATTCAACCCACAATCCAGGAGACGCCTGAAAAAATATCATTGCAAATTTCTTAATGCAAACAGAATGTCTGGATGCATAAATTGATTTTTATTTTGTCCTCAATAATCAGAGTATTTATTCCGTCCCATACTTGTCAAAGTTCTGTATAGTATAGATATGTGAAGTAATCATATAAGTATCAGTATTCCCTTGTAAGGTTATGCAAGTGTTGAATGCATTATGATGAATTAAGTTTATCAAAGAAGCAACTCAGAATAGTGTTATTCCCCTTTGTGTTTAGAGACAATTATTTTCAGAGGTATCCAGCAAATTAAAATGAATGTCAGGATCATTGTTGAACATGCTATTCAACTTTTAGGTTGAGAGATTTTTTAAGCCTAAGAAATGATAGGCTGAGACGAGAGTAATAAAAATAAAGCACTATATTTGCTTTATGTGCATGCTGTCGTAATATTTGTCATTTGTGTCCTCTGTTGATTAGAATATTATTTTCAAATTTTTGTTAACCTTTTATTGCACTAAAATAAGTCCTAACATCTGTACAATTTGCTTAGTAAAAGACCTTTTTAAACAAGTTTAAAAAGTTTAAAACTATCCATTGCACTTTGTTAATATTACAGAATATAAGGCAAATAGATTTAAGTGCTCGGGGTGGGGGAAGCATTTAGAAGCAAATAAATGTTTAAATGTACATAATTAGCCTGCTGTGACTACATTAAAAAAATACATGTTTGAGAATCTTAATGTGGCACAGTTAAAGAAACTGATAGTGCAGCATCTGCATTGCTAGCATTTTTTTTCGTGCTGTTAAAAGCATCAAAAAGATAAGTTGTTAGCTAGTTATTTGATTTGATTCTTGAACCTCTGAACTTTACTACTTTGACCAAGCATGTTTTTTTGATAACGTAAAAGATTCAGGTTGAGTAAAAAAATCAGAGTTAAATGCCTTGTGCTCAGTATGACAGTTCTCGATATATTTTTCACAGTCTTCCTTATTTGTCTTCCATTTTTTTACAAGGTAAAGTGTAAGAATTTAGTTCATAAGATTTCAGTTCAGTTTATTCTTGCTTAGAGAGTTGATGTCTTAATGTTTTACGTGTATATATAAACCACTGCTTTAAGTTGGCTTATAATAAAGATAATTGCAAAGCATTCCAAAAAAAATTATTAAATTTGGGGTGGGGGTGGGGTTTAACATAGAAAAAAGTGAAATGATTTTGAAACAGTGGTCACTATAACCTCTATTCATAAGTTTGAATGTATAGATGCTTATCTTTTAAAAGCAGCAAGTAGAGTAAACAAATTCATTTGAAGATTCTTAAAAGAGTTAATATTTGGCAAGTAAACTTCTTTGCCCAGACGTTGCTATTTTTCATCAAATTTTAAAAAGCAACATTACCATTTATGTCTCTAATTGTTACTTTAAATGAAACTTACTCAATTTTTAGTTTAATTTGACATGAATTCTATGTAAAACGTTTATATTAACATGCTGCTTTATTAACTATAAACTGTATTTATTATATATTTCTGTGTTCACTTAATGTTTGTTTATTTAAGGTGTTTAGCGTTTATAATCACATTCATTCCTCATCTTCCTTCCCTGATACTCTATCTCAACTGTTGCTTCAGTTTCCAGAAATCCTCTGAAAGCCAGGAGGCTTTCCAGGCATTGACTGAGACCTTAATCATCATGTACCAGAGTCTCAGGATTAATCCCGAATTTCCTTTGGAACCAAATAGGGTCCATTCAGCCCTCACGGCTGACTGATTTAATAGGGACACCCAACCTGGTCTTGGTTATACATGCCAAGTCAGCCCTCTTATACACATGAAGTCAAGAACAAGAGAGGCTTAATTATTGGTCAACCTGGCATTTAATAGCAGTAGTTAGAAACCAAGGTCTGCTAACCAGGCATAAGGAAATAACCTTGGAATCAACTGGAGACATTGAAATATCTTCCCCAGGACCAGCCAGCTTTGCCCTATCTCTTGTCTAAGGCCAAATCTCCCTGACCTGTACCATCCCAACCCATTAATAAAGGCCTCCATCCAGGCCTAAATTAGCAATCTTTCTCCCTCTTTGGGTAGTCAGTTCCTGTGAATTGCTTCTGATCTAATGCAGTGATCTGTCGGTCAGCTGCATTCCCACCACACATCCATACCACGCTCCCAAATCCCCTCCCCCACTCTCATGGGGGGGGGAGGTTATGAGGGGCAAAATAGGCACTCACCACACTGGCTGGACAAACCCAGAAAGTTATAGCCCCTCCTCCACATAACAGCCAGATGAAATCTAGGTGATCTCATCAGCTGGCTCTGAATACTGATTGAAACTCCTTTCACTTCTCATTCCAAGTCCTTCAGTGCTGTGCAGAAGAATCCTTGGGCACACACTGCTGAAAAGTGGCACAAGTGGATACTTTCGTCTGCAGCCACTGCCATTTGTAAAAGACAAAATGGCCTCTGTCCAGAATGACAGGCTGTTTTGCAGATAAGGATAAAAGCCAAACTCCAGCTCTACAACTTGGCCAATTTTGCTTCTTGGGACTCACCCATACCAACCAGAAGTCCCGAATCTCTGAATTCAAGCTTCTCTGGGTTGCCACCATTGCTCTCCACTAGCTGATTGATAATATTTCCAACTCTTAATCTGTAGCATCTCTGGGTCATCTGATTGAGTGCATTAGCTGTAAGGGGAAGTGGATGGATACAGAAAGATAAACGCTTATGTAATTATGTGTCTTTATGTTTTTACATTGCAATACACTATAGAAGACATTTTAGTGGTAGTTCAGCTATAGAACCATTGTGTGTATTAATTTATATATTAAAGAATCTGGAATATAATTTCCTTTGTTACTGTTTTTTCCTTTTTTAAAAATGAAGTTCTAGATAGAATCATAGATAAATTACACGAGTAAAGAGATGGCATGAGATTGGGGTGGGCTATTGTGATTTGTCTTTCTAATTGTAGAAAGTGGACTAATGCCACTATTGAATATTCACTATATACTGTTGATATATTGCTTTGTTCCGTATTTTCTTCTCTGATACACAGTGGAGACATCTTAATTTAGTGAATGTCAAAGTCCAAAAGAATAGTTCCAGAAATGTCCATTTTATTTGGGTTACTTAAAAAAAGGTTTTCTGAACTTTGCTTTAGTTTAATGATTAACAAGTTGAAAACTACCAGAACTAAATTATTTAAAGACAAAACAAAGTAAGCTACATCATGTCTGAAAGACCAATTTGCATTGCTGATTTTGAAGAATACGCTAAGAAATTTCTTCAAAAATCTGTGTACGATTACTATAAGTCTGGGGCTGATGATCAACAAACATTAGCTGAAAATGTAGCTGCATTTTCAAGGTAATTAATGATTCAAATATTGTATTTAGCTTGTAATTTAAAGTAGAATTGAGAAACAGTACATTATTTGAAGTGCATTCATGACTGAAATAAGTTATACTAAAAGTAAATTGGTCATGTACAATTTGAGCATTCATTTGCTTTTTTCAACTCTGGATATCGGGGGATACCATGGAACAGAATTCGATTTTCATATGAAATATAGTTTTGCAAGCCCTTACCCTGAAATTGCAAGAGCCTTTGATTTTGGAGCAAAAAATTGTGTTGTGCTCAAAAAGTAGCCAAGTGACTAATATATTGCGATTCTATCTACTAAAATAATTTAATGCCTGTTCAAATGTTTGTCCAGTAAATATATCTGGCAAATATTTGGGAATATGAAAGTCAGGTAATCATAAATCTCTGATAACTACCCAATGTTTAAATCAAATGTTCAATTACTATTTTAGAAAAAATATCTAAGATTTGTGCTTGTAGAGGATTGGAAAGTAGCATATTTTTCAATGGGTGGGGGAACTGAGAAATTACAGAATATTTTTACTTGTGCTATTGATAAAGTAAGTAAGGGTAATGGAAATTATTGGTAAAACAAGGGCAACCAAGGAGAATTGGAAGGTGAGTTAAGTCATGCAATATGTGAATGATCCTGGTTAGTTTTACTTACTGCGATGTCTAATTTAGCCAAATGGGGTCTCTGAAGAGATCTATTCTGACTGATAGTAACAATTCCTGTCAACAATTGTTAGTGCTCCATTCAGTTCCTATCAGTTCAGCATTCAAAAAATTACTGGTAGTTAAGTAGTTCTGTGCAAATCCTTAGATAAAGGCACAGAATTCCAATTTATTTATTTTCATTCTAATGTCAGTGATTAGGTTGAAACTGGGAGAGTTACAGCGCTCGTATAATCTTAACTGATGATAAATATCCTCTTCAAACATTGCCCAAAATATCTTATCAGAGCTGTACTGGGATGGCATTTCTTGACTAGTTGAAAGCTCTAAAAAGGAATAAGTAAGCCAAAATTATAGCACCTATCTTATATCTACCTTGTATTTCATAAACTAGTATGAATGAGATATGTGAGCTACCACAAATAAAATGGGTTATTGACATAATGCATATTGCTTCTGTGTCCGTTTATATCCCTTTCACATATAAAGATCAATATTTATGCTTGCTTAATAGAAATAATGATCCTGAGCATAGCTTATGTAGGTAATTAAACTTTAATAACATTAATTTTGTCTTGAATGAAATAAGCTGAATAGAGAATATGAGACTTTCCTTTATTCTGTGTTGAAGTTGTGCATATCAATCATTAGTTTTGCTTCTTGAAAAGTCTTAAAGACAAAACTTGCAGTTTGTTTGTAACTAGGCAAAAAACAACTTTTTTCAACAATTTTTCCAGTTGAAACTTTTTTATGTTAATTTTATTGCATTTTAAGCCTGAAAGATAAAAACTGATACTACTAATAAGATGAGAAAAAAAGAAAAAGTAAAGAAATAATGAAGCTGAAAGTGTAGAAAAAAGGGAAAGAAATATAAAGAAGTGATTCTGATTTTTCTTCTACAGTAATTATAAATTTAAAATGACTTCTATGGTTGCAACGTAACATATTTTTCTATCTACCTATTTATTTTTTTGGATCATCAAACCCATATAGCATAACTTCATTTTTTTTCTGTTCTGTTTTTCTGTTCTGATCTCTGTTCTGATTGGAAACTCTTTTGGACTCTGCCAAAAGTCCAAAAGGGTTTCCAATCAGAATTAATCAGTGTCTTTTCTCTAATCAAGGTTTTTGAACTTAGCCATATGAGCAAGTTCATTTTCATCATTACTTTTCCATTGTGGGCAATGACAGATCTTTTCACTGTTGTGTATGTAAAAGTCTTGCTTCTGTTTTCATATATAGTTCCACAAGCTTTTTATAACTTTTTGTTAATCTCAAAAGAATCATCTCTGGCTTCAGCTGTATGTTAATGTTTAAAATCTTCTGAGTTAATGTACATATTTGAAAGTACAATTTTTAAGGTTTTTTTTACATGTCCACTAAGCATAATAAAAATCCTCTCATTCAACATACATTTGAATTGTCTTTATCATTTTTTTCAAAGTTTGATAAGCTTGATGAATGTGAGGTAGACCAGTCAACCAATACTAATCAAAGCAAAATTTTAGGGAGAGATGTTCTCATGCTTTAAATTCAAAAACTGTACACTAGACTGGCAAATCAAAAGCAAGGACAAACCACTTTTGTATTGTTCCTGAACAACTGAAATAGACAATGGATTGACCCTCCTAGATTGGATTCTAACTAATGAAGGGTTGAGTAGTGATAATTTTAGGATGAAGTAACCCCATTATCTTGAAGTTCGGGATTCTATAGAAATGTACATTAGATTTCAAAACAGCCAACTTGAACTAGAGAAATGTTAGGGTCTCAGAAGAAATCCTCAGGTCAAAGAGAGCTCAGAGGAATTGGGGATTTCTGAAAAATAAAACCTTAGAAGTACAATCACCATCTGTACCGGTGAGAAAAAAACAACTCTATACCCCAGGATCTTTTGACTTAAGAGTTAAAAGAAAGATATAAAGGAAATGGGACATGAGTGTAATAACTAAGGAGATTCGTTCCACAAGAGAAGACAAGGAAGAATAGGCAGAAAGTAAGCAGATTTCAATTGAACACGAGGAAAAAATTCTTAGCAGTTGGAGCTATTTCACAAAGGAGCAAAATGACCTTGGGAAGTGTTGGTCTCACTTTATTGGCAATATTGGACAGCCATTTTAAGAAAAGATTGGACAGCTGTTCTATTATTTAAAAAGAAACTCAATTTCCTTCTGATAGGGATTAGATTTCTGAACTGAACAATGAGTCATTATGGAACAGCTTGCCCTCGGAAGTTGTGGGAGTACCATTGCTTGAGACCTTCAAGAAGAGATTGGACTGCCATTTGTCAGAAATGGTGTAGGGTCTCCTGCTTGGATGGGGGGTTGGAATAGATGACCTACAAGGTCCCTTCCAACTCTGATTATCTGTTACCTGTTATCATTAAATCAGGGGTGTCAAACTCGTGTTGTCATGGCATCACATGATGTATCATGACTTTTTCCTTTTGCTAAACTGGATGTGGGCA